TCAGAGCAATCTCTGTTTCCAAAGAAAACCCACAAGGAAAACAGTTATAAAGAAATCATTCACAGTGCCATGCCAAGCCCAAAACAAAAGGAAAAGATCACCTGTACTGGTCCTGCCTTTATGTAGAAATTTGATTTTTTTCCATTATGGCTTTCTGCATTGAACTTGATTTGGGGAGTGTGGTTTCAATCCAGGACCGCCTGCATGATAAACAAGCAAGAGCTCTACCAGTGCTATATCTTTGTGCTTTTATTTTTTATTTGAGACAGGGCCTTCCTAAGTTGCCCAGGTTGGACTTAAACTTCTGATCCTCCTGCCTCAGCCTCCAGAGTAACTGGGACTCCCAGGCATGTGTCACGCCTGGCTTCAAATTTGATTTTTTAAAAAAGCACTACATTAAAATATTGCTAATGTTGATTACTGAGGTTTGTGGTACCTCCTGAAGTTTACACTGTTTGCCTCGTCCTAGTCTCCGCATAAATCTAGTCCCTGTCACTCTGTCACAGTGCAGACAGAAGTCTCCAGGAGTAAGTGTCTCACCAGGAGGAGTCAAGCGAACACTTTATTTTAGGAGTTTATGAAAAGCAGCACACTCAGCTTTTCTTTCTCAGGGGCAGTTTCTGTGTTGCAGGGTGGGGGACAGGACAGAGACTGCCGGCCCCACTGCAGTGGCAGAGTCAGACACTGAACGGACGAGGCCTTGGGATTCATGGAGCCAGGTGTAGAGGAGGGAGTGCTGGCGAGGGCGCAGGGGCCCCAGGCCTGGCCGTGTCTGCAGCAGCAGGGGCCACATCCCAAGCTGGGAAGAGCGCAGGAAGGAGGAGCTCAAGCAGCTGAGCACTCTCAGAAGGACCAGGAGGAGTGGGGCTCCACCTCCCGAGTGGAATTTGGGGTGGTGCCTTTAGGACTCCCTCTCCATCCCGGCTGGCTGTGGGTCACAGCAGCTTTTCATCAGGGTACCAGGTTGACTCCTGAAGAGTGTCCCCTAAGTAGTGGGACGGCGTTACCCCTAAACTAAGGGGCTGCTCCAGATTTGCCCTGATTCCAAGGCACTTGCCTGCATGCCCTCAAAAGCCCAGCTGTATTTAAGAAGACACGGTGAGGGGTGAGGTTGTAGCCCAAGTTGGAGAGCACGAGCTTATGTCATGAGAACTGAGTTCAGTCCTTGGTGCTGCAAAAACAAAGCAAAGCAGAAAGAAACAAAGCAAAGAAAAAGACAGCTCATTGTGCCCCCCAGATCTCTAGCAAATTTTGAAGGTAACGGGGCCAGAATTATAGCTTATTAGCTGAGCATTTGCCTAGCGTGTACAAGACTGGGTGTGATCCCCAGTGCTGAGAGAGAAGGAAGGAGGGGGAGAGAGAAGGGGTGAGGGGAATGTAGCACCTAACAATAAAAACAGTTTAGATTTGTCCAGCATCTAATTTTTTAAAATTGCCGGCATGCAAAGAAATAAAAAGATATAGTTAATCAGAATGAAAATCAAACAAGAGACGCAAACCCCAGACAGCAAAGGTGATGGAGCAGGCAGAGACCTTCGAATGACCTGTAAGCATGTTGCATGTTTGGAAAGAGGAAAACATGAGTGTAATCACGAGGGGAGTGAAAGATGCAGAAGGAAGACTGAGGTGGACCTTCTCGGATGACTGGTGTAGGCTCTGAAAGGAGGGCCGCGGCAGAGCTAGCAAAGCAGGTCCGTGCCACCGCGGAGATGTGTGTGTGAACTTGAGATGCAGCAGCAGAATTACCCAAGCCCGGCACCGGGAGACAGAGTCACGGACAGCACCAGTGACCGAGGGGCGGCGGTCTCAACAAGTGGAAGATGCGGTGACCACAGCAGAAGGACAGCGGGAGGGAGAGGGAGTAGCTGGAGAAATTAGGCTGAAAAATGGTCAGCGTTGATGGAAACTGCGAACCATAAAGCTTAAAAACCCCTAGCAGACTAGAGAAAACCATCATAATCATATTGCTTAAAAGCCAGCGGCAGAGAAGAAAAGCCTTAAAAGCTGCTGGAAGAAAAGACACCAAGGGATAAAGGCAGTGACAACAGCAGGCTTTGGTCAGGTCTTGTGTGAGCCAGAGACAGCAGCCTGGCCCTGTCAAGAGAGGAGACCCGTCGACTCAGAGCTCTGTACCTAGCAAAAGCACCTTTCCAAAGTGGGCGCAATGAAGAGGGGTTTTTCTTAGGCAAGAAAAGCTAACAGAATTTATTATCTGCAGAACTGTATGACAAGAAATGCTAAAGGCAGAGGGAAAATGGTCTCAGATAGAAATTTATGCACAGCAGAGTGAGAAGAGAAATGGCCAATAGGTAGTGTTTTTACTTTGAATCATTTCTACAATGGACTGTTTGAAGTATAGCACTTGTTGGAGGTAAATAAATCACAATAGTATAAAAGTTGGAAGGAAGAAATGGAAATATGATGCTGTAGGTTCTGTACTGTTGTACATTAAAGATGCTCATTGTGTAAGGGGAGAAGAAATGTGAATTGCCAATATATTGCAGATGTAATTGGGTTATCACTGGAGATCATGTAGACATTCAGAGGATGGTAAGGAATATCATGACTACTTCTGTGCCCGTAAGTTTGATAATTTAAATGAACACTCAAGAGACAGAGAACCTGTAACTTTGTATTCTTCATTAAAGAAGTCGAATTTATAGTTAAAATACCCCAAAGGAAACTTTTGTCCAACTGGCTTCACTGATAAATTGTACTAAACATGTAAGAAAAAAGTAATCTGACAAAAGATTCAGAAGTTGAAGAGGAAGGACTGTCTTCCAGGTCATTCTGTGAACACAGTGCTACCCAGTAACGGGACGGAGGAAAGCAGGGCTGTGCGCGCAAGGCTAAGCATCGAGATTAGTAAAAAAAAAACAACAAAAAACAAAAAACTAGCCCCCAAAGCATAAAGGAAATAGAAAAAGTAACAAGACAAGAGTGGGATAAGTGAACAGTGCCGTCACAGTGGAAAAGCTCAGTGTGGGGCTCAGTGGGGCGCACTGGTCCCTGGTGTGTGCACGGCCTGACTTCAGCCCCCAGTACCATTAAAAAAGAAAGAAAGAAATAGCCTCATGCCATAAATTTGAAATTTTACATGAAATAGACAAATTTATTTTTTGTGGATTTGTATTAGTACACTTGTGAAACATGATTCATTCATCACGAAAGATTTGTGGAAAAATGGGACTTACTGAAAGCAGCTGAGGAAACAGGAAGCCTTAACTAACCCTGTAGACACTAGAAACGCTTGGATTCACAGAAATACAAATCAACACGCCCTGGGAATATGTGTTTACATGCACACTCGTCTTCCTTCGCTGACCCAGACCACTTGTCTTGAGTACAAGTTTAAACCTGTGATTCAAATCTGTGATTATATCTGTGATTATGCCTTAGTCTCGTCATAAGGGATCTCAGCCTCAGCGGTTGTAAGTGGACAGTGGTTTGTCAGTCAGTCAGTCAGTCAATCAGTCAGTCGGAAGACCCAGGCAGGGCTGGCTGTGGGGCTCGGCTGCCAGCCTTGCCTCCCTGTGCACCATCCCCAGCTCTTTATTCCAGCTGGCACCAGCTACAGACTCTGTGTCCATGTTCAGGGTCTGCAGGAAGGGTAAGAATGCCCAGGTTCCAGGGTGGGATGAGAAGTCCTCAGCTATGCCCGGGTTGAGTTCAGAGAGGGCCACCGGCACTGGCTCGGTGCTCTGGTGGACAGGCCGGGTCCCTGCTCTCCTTGGCCACTGGCTGGCACGAGCGTCTGCAGGCTATTGGGCCAGGCGGGGTCAGACCTGGAGAATCAGTGCGGGAACTGAGTGAAAGGAGAACCGTTGCTTGGTCCCAGAGTCAAATCTCTTGCAGGATTGTCAGATGTAAAATCTCAGGCATTCTTCTTTCAGAATAACTTACAAAACCCTATGTAAGGATTTTTAGGGGGCCCAGGAACGTAGCTCAGTGGTGCATCACCTGCCTGGCAAGAGCAAGGCGCTGAGTTCGAGTCCCAGTACCAAAAAGAATTTTTAGGATACCACCCTGCAGCTGTTCATTTAGCAGGAACTAAAGCCAGGCTAGTTTTATTGAAGAAGTTGAGCAACCGAAATTCTCTCATACCCATCTTCAGGAAGTGTAAGTTGTTACACCTACTTTGGGAAATAGTTTGGCTTTGTGTAGCAAAAGTTGAATATGCACTTACTCAGTAACCTAGCAGCAATCACTCATCTAGGTACCTACTCCAGGGAAATTGTACCTGTGTGCTGAGGTAGCTATTCAAAGACATTTGAGCAGTGTTTGTACTGGCTCTGCAGCAGAAACTGCCCAGGAATGGCTGGCTGAACGGTGGAGCACGTACACGTGGAGTAGCTCACAGGAATGAGAATAAACTATAGCTACAGCAACCACAAGGTTGAACAACAAGCAAGCAAGAGAAAAGAATATATGCAGAGCTGGGCGCAGTGGTACACACTGGCTAGCACTAGGGAGGCTGCCGCGGGAGGATCGCAGGTTCAAGGCTAGGGTGGATTATATAGTGAGGCCTTGTTTCAAACAAAACAAAACAAAAAAGAACCCAAATGGTGTGATTCTATTTATGTAAAATTCAGAAACAATCAACATTAAACAGGCCTCGGCTGATCAGCTGGGTAATAAACCTCTAAAGCAAAGCCGGGAAATGATAACCAGGAATAGCAGGCAGTAGTCTGCAGACACAGAGGGCCAAGGCTCAGAGAGGGGCACCAGCATTCCTGGAGTTCTGGCTAGGCCCAGTGTCTAGGTGGTGTTTGTTCCAGCGTCCCGAGTAAGCTGATGAACGGCACACACAGCTTCCTGTCCTTCTCTGAATGTGTGTAATATGTTATGACAAAGTGGAAAGAATCAGGCTTCATAATGCATGCCCCACTCACAAAATGTAGACCGCCCACAGCCTGTGTGCATGTGGAACGGTTAGAGTGTTTATCTTAAGCTTCCTTGCCATTCTGCAGAGGTGCACATTTTGAGACTGTTCTTTAAAGCCTTCCAGGTTTTCCAGATGAGAGTTGACCGAGTGCCTCTTGTGTCCCAGGAAGGCTCCGTGGGCTGCTTGGGGACGGCCGGGGGGACGGCCGGGGGAACGGCCGCACTTCCTCCTTTGCGAGACCTTCTTCCCCCATCGACTTCGATAATCTCCTGACAGCATATGACACACAGGTATGTAGCTGGAAAATGCTAATGTGTATAGATTTCTTTCTTCAGCTGTCCCTTTTTTGGCTTAGTAATCAAATTCTAAAACTTCCTGAACTTGCTCACTTTTGGCTTTAGCAGTTTCCTTCTTTTGCAGACAGGGTCCCAGCAGCCCAGGGGTGATTTCATAAGTCGGGAGGCTGAGTGCAACAGCCAGCATCGTTTCTCAGGGGCCAGCCTAGCCCGGGCCCAGAAGGAATGGCGCCCACCGAAGAGCCTGGCTTTTGATTGTAAACTATTCGCTCCTTAACTGTCTAAGAGTTTGAGAAGAAAAGAAATACCTGTTTTGTAATCTCTACATTATGATTGAGTGGCATTTTGTACTTGAAATTAAGAACACACTATTTAATATGTTAGAGCATCCAAAGGAATATAAAAGGGTTTGAAATGTTTGTGTGCAGGATAAGATTTAATACATTACTAATTTCACTAAGCTGAAAAGTAGCAAGACAACTGCAGTGTCCGCTTCATTTACAGTCACGTTGTCCTCACAGTACCGTCTGGTTTCCCAGGTGTGTCTGGTCAGCTTGAGGCAGGCCCAGCAGTTCACTGCTGGGTCTCCTGGGTCTCTTGTGGTGCTTGCAGTTCCCAGCTCCACCTGTTTGTCTCGTACTTTGTTGGGGGGTCCAGGCCAAATCTCCTGTAGCCAGGTTTCCCTTCTGCCTTTGGCTGTTTCTGTGAAGCGCTAGCTTCCGCCTCCACCTTTCTTGTGAATGTGGTGGATCTGGAGGGCAGGCTGTCTGTCCGCCCTCAAGCGTGGCATCGGGGAAGTGACCTGAATGCTCATCAATGACACCAGGCCTGCAGAGGACAGCGGAGCCAGGGCTCCATGTCCAGACTCTCGGTCTTTAGTGCTTGTAAAATGGTGGTGGCCTATAACACTGTCGTTACTCTTCCTTGCTTAGCTGAAGTATTTCTGTATGATTGGGTCAGAATTTCCCTCATTGATCTTTGGTTATTCCAGAGGACAGTTCAAATGGAAAGGCAGGGTAAATAAATGCCTGATTCCTTCCCTTATCAGTTCTCGGCTGGATGATTCTAGAGCCGCTCCAGCAGTAGCCAGTGACGAGCGTCATGTTGAACTTTAGCCTCTATTGTATGTGAAACATCCGGGCAGATCCCAGCCAGCTGCAGAGCCTCCGGGAGTCCAGCCTGAGTCCTTCTGGGCCTGGGAGACCTTTCCTCTCGTCCTGTGCCGTTTCTGCCCAGACCTAGAGGTGCTCTTCCTCTGAGCAGCTGTCTGTCCCCCGTGTAGGATGCGGTGTCTTGGGGCCGCAGCCCAGCTGGGAAGCCCCACTGCAGGGCCAGGGATTGTGTCAGGGCCCTTTCGGTGAATGACCGTGAGAATAGATTTGTGGAGTAAGATTACATCGTGTGTTCATACTGTTTTAATTTCGAGTTGAGGTTTTTATTTCTTTGACTTTGTATTTGTCCTCTCTTTCCTGTTATGCTAAGTCTTAGTTCCTAACAGTTCTGGTGTCTTTGCTCATGTATTTTAACCTGTAGAATAGGTGCGGCAATCATTTTAGAATAACATTACCAACTTACCACTATGGATATGATTACTGAAATAGTTTAGGATTTTCTAGGTTCCTTTGGAGTAGTGGGGATTGGATCCAGGGGCACTCTGCTGCTAAAATCCATCCCTAGCCTTTTTAATATTTTATTCTGAGACAGGGTCTCACTAAGTTGTCTAAGCAGGACTGGAACTCATGCTTTTCCTGCCTCAGCCTTGCCCAGTGCTGGGTTGCGGTGTGGCCCCCCACTCCAGAGTCTGCAGTCTTTGGTGTCCTTGCAGTAGATCCCTGGGACTCTTCTGACAAGTTGTTACTTTTTTAAGTCACACAAACCAGTTTCTCTGTGCCATTGGCCAGTTACAGTTACATGCATTTACTTCCTTTCCTTTCAGTTTTAAGGAGAAGCTTCTTTTTAATTTTATTTTATTTCAGTGGTGCTAGGGACAGCTCAGTGCTTTGCATGTGCTAGCCACATGCTGTATCACTGAGTCCTTGGTCTTTTAATTTTATTTATCTTACAAATGTACCAAACATTTTCATGGATTTCAATTCAAAATATATATAAAAATCTCGCTTCCATTCCTAATCTCACTACCATTTCCCCGCTCCTCGATAAGTAACTTGAAAGTTTTCACGGCTCATGTCGGAGCAAGCGTGTGTGTGCATGCGCACGGCAGTCTCGTGTCTTGGGGCCTCACGCACAGTCCTGCCCAGCTTGGATGTTCAGAGGAGAGGCTGAGAGGTTTTGGATCGGAACCGATTGGAAACTTTAAACCCAGGTAGAAGTGGGGGAGTTGGCGTACAAAACCAAACGAAGCACAGTGACAAGAGCCAGTGTTTTCTAAGATCTCGTGATTTGTGCTAAACATTGGTGCTGACATTGGAAGCCACTTCTCAATAGAAGGCACAGGCCTTCCTTGTCCCTGGGAAGTGAGCGCTGCCTCCTGCAGCTTCTCCCTGCCCCCTGCAGCTTCTCCCTGCCCATCCACCTGCAGCCCCAGCCCCCAGCCCAGCCTGTCCAGCAAAGCCTCCTGGAAAAGATGCTGCCTGCTGCCAGAGGCTCACAGCATGGCCTAAGTGCCAGGCTCCGCGCCCTCCTTTCTGTCCAGGCGGCAGGACTTGGACCCTAGGCCGGGAGAGGTGCAGTGTCTGCATGGAGTGAGGCCTGAACAGGTGCTTTCTACACATCCCGAGTCGTGTGACCAAGGGGTGTTGGCATCGCAGGGCCCCAGGTGGGTCCTGTCTTCAGAAAGGTTGGCAGACCACGCTTTATCTGGGGCGTGGCAGGCTTTTCCAGCTGGCAGCCTAGTAGACTGGTCTGTCTGCCTCGAAGGTCGGCTGCCTGCCCCTCTCCTGCTCCATCTTCTCACAGGGCTGGAGTACACGCTGTGCCCTGCCTCATTGCTTGGGCACGTCTGCTCCCTCCTCCGCTTTACGTTCCCAGCCCCAGCTCAGTGACACACAGGGCATTGGGTATGAGGAAAGCCATCGGCGTGCTGAGGGGTCTACATGGTTCTGGGGGCACCTGGCACACGCACACGTGCCTGTGGTGAGCTTCTCCCTTCTCCTTTGTTTTCGGCGTCACGTGGATGGTGCCTCTCACCTCCCGACTGGACCTTGGGCTTGTGTTTTCTACACACGGGTCATGTTTCATCCTTTCTTGATGGCAGGAGCCATGGGCTTAGTCTATCTGATGCATCCCTCTTTTGGTTTCCCAGGCTTTCCAGGCCTCTGGACCCCCTTTTGTGAGCAGCTGTACTTTTGTTTCCAGTTGCTAAGCTCCAATTAAAATGCAGCTCCACTGAAACCTCGGTGTAGGGAGCCTCAGGTGAGCCGTCGGAGTAACGGCGGCAAAGGGGAGCCCTGTGCGCGCTACACCCTCTTGGGGCACACCAGCCTCTCCCAGCCAGGCTTCTGAGCAGCTGGCTGGAACTAAACTTCATGCGGCTCCTTCCTCAGAAAATTAGAGATGTCTTTCATTGGAGTAAGATAAGGCCTCAAAATACAGTAAGTTCAGGCCTAAAAATGCAGTGAGCAGTAATTAATTAACTAACGGAGCAGTAATTCTGCGTGAAGGAAACCACCTTCCTGGAGCTCTGGGACTGAGTCACAGGTCCCAGCCAGGACACCGGCCTGGGGCTATGGCTTCTGCCGTGGCTCCGCCTCAGGTCTCGGAGCACTGGGGCGCACGTGCCACCCAAGAGTCAAACTGGGCCTTTCACGGCCATTTCCTGTGCACTCCCTGGTCAGAGGGTCTGTTGTCGTACCCAGCAGCACACTTCTTTATGTGCACAGAAGCGGCTCTTCTGTCTCCCTTGATGCTCGGTGAGGATGAGAAAGTAAGGTGTTGGCAGTGGCCTTAACTTCCTGTCACCTCTGTGACCTGACATGCCACCCACAGCTGTCTGCTCAGTATCTGGGCATTGTCACCAAGTCCCTCCCCTGAAGCAAGCTGCTATTAAACATTAGCTCGCAAGTCCCCAAAAGTTGCCTCCAAAACCATGTTTAATGTGTAACTTTTTCATCAACACAATAATTATAAATACTATAGAATTTAATAAAGTTATAATTGATCAATCTAAATTGTAGGACAAAGGTAGACTTTCCTGTCCCTGTGTATAAGCAAGTGAAGTGAGGTGTTCGTGCTTAAGTGAAGAAATCTAATCAGGGGTCCCACAGCCCTCCGTTAGGAGTGGCTCCAAGGATGTGGCTTTGCTGATTGCTTGTGCTGCTCACAGACGGCCCGCAGGTGGAGCTCACCACCCCGGGACCCCTGGCCCAGCCACAGCATAGCGCGGATGGCCAGCTACAGTCGCAGGTTAGAGATTACGGTCATGAGTGCCTTAGCAAAATGTAGCTTTTCATTTCAGGAACTTCCTTGTTACGGTGGTTTTTAGTTCAGAGAGCTTTGAACGAGGTGTTTCAAATTGTGGAACTGTGCGCTTAGGATCTGTTGTTGCCCAGCCCAGGAGTGGACAGCGATGGCGGCGGGGCCCCTGCCGGCACTGCACAGCTGCCACAGAGCCTGTGTCCATGTGGCCACTGTGCGCTCAGATTTCTCTTTTCATTTAAAACATTGTCCCCTAAACTGAGTTCTGCTTAGCTTTTCTTTTAAAATACTTCCAGTGACGTAGAGGTGTCTGGATGTCAGTAGGCACCCAGGGTGTGTGGCCAAGCCTGGTGTGCCGCGGCTCTCGTGTCGGTGGTCATGAGACCTGGAACGGGGATGAGGGCGGCTCTGGGTGTCCCATCCTTTCAGGTTTCTTTTCTTCACTAGGTACTTTTTTTTTTTACATTTTAAAAGTTGAGATGAAAATTCATATAAAACTCACCTTTTAAACTATTTTAGGTGTACACTTCAGTGGTTTTGAGCATGTCTTATGGCCATCACCGCTGTCTGATTCCAGATCATTCCTAGCTCCCAGAGGAAGATTCGCCCTCCCTAGGCAG